GGACTTATGCCAGATGAGCCAGAGAGGAGAACAGAAAGATCAGGAGAAGGGTCATCGTGGCTGGCTACAGCTCAAAAGTTGTTATGATCCAAGTTACCAAAAGAACTACAGGAGAAGCTCCTGAAGACCAATGCTTCCTCAAACACCAAAATATTACGAAAATCAGTTAACATTTGCAGGTTCATGGCGGCCATCGAGGTGATCACATCACAAGAAAGGGAGGTGAAAATGAAGAAGATCACCGGCGAACCGTACACGATACTGATTCGAGTCTGGAACGAAACTGTCAGCAATTTGACCCTCATGGCGCTTGGTGAGTCCATACATGTTTAAGAAGCAGAGTTAAGGGGTGCTAGAGAAAGAAAGAAGTACGGAGGGATCAGTGATGTCATCTCTTGGAGGTTGAGTCACTGCTACAAATACAATGTATGGTGTTTGAATGTATCATTCACTATCACAAGATGCTGATACTTCAATTAAGAGAGAACTAAATGGTAAGAGCAGATTGCTACAAGCCTCCAAACCTACCAGTACTGGGGGTCTACTTTTTTGAATGGGAGCGAGATAACGAATAAACACAGGGCAGTGAGGAGAGAGGACAGACAAAAGAGCACATAGTACGAGAGCAAGCCTAGCACCCTTGTCGTGCACTTTCTGAACGTAAAAACGGCACTCTACCTTCGTGGATAGCTCATACTACTTCTGGAAGGGATGGATGACCTAGCTTGATGAAATACGCCCTCAATATTTCGCGCGGTTTCATGCAAACATAAGTCCTGCTCTTCATACCTTCAGTGAGTAAAATACAATATATTGTTCAAATTCGGGCTCGTCTCAATCGATCATTATCCCTCTAGTTAGGCCAGGAGAGCTTGTGTGGTGCACGTGGCGTCGCCTTCCACGCGTACGAACCGGGGTCGAATACTGCATTGGCCAGTCAGGCTTTCTATTCCCCAAGGACCATTATTGATGAGAAGCATATCTTTTACAACGGCTGATCCGTAGAGGTCGCTGGATTGGTAAGATTACATTCACGGGCCCCGGGTCATTTAATGATTCCGTTTTTACCATCGGCTTTGTGTGCCTCCGAACCACTGGACCTCTGGAGGGGTAGACCTTCAGCAGCTTACCTATTCTAAGAATGAATCGTCCAGTCATTGCAGAGAGTAAGAGAACCTGTTTCCACAGTTATGTTTGTTAAAACAACTTTCTCGAAGAACCTGTGAGAGGGTTCATGGCTGCGTGGCGGGAGTGAGGGGAGGCACTTTGGGCAAAATGGAGGTCGACGAGATGATGAGGTGACACTGGGACTAAGCTCACGAACGTGCTCACATTCTTTCCCAGGATCCCTTCTTCCCCCTGAGGCTTAGCCCCAAGTGCTGGCTCATTTACTTGAATGTCTCCCATAACGACATGAGCGCCCTGTGAGATCTTTGAGTCAGTGATAAATGATAACTTTTAAGGATCATCAGCGCCCGAGATTTTACTCTCCGTCATTGAGATTTTTGGTAACAATTTCGAAGCAGGTATGATCATTTTCTTCCCTCATGTATTATTACATTACTTTTTATCTTTACCAACATTTCTATTTTGCTCGTTTTGTTTTAAGATTTCATTCCCAATTTGTCACAGGTGAATTGGGCCCGAGCACGATTGTGGGATCGGCTGCGTTCAATCTATTCATTATCATCGCTGTCTGCATTTACGTGGGTTAATTCATCGTCATTCACCATTCCATTTGAAATTGCCTGAATCTGAAGTAAGTAGGCTTTAGTACTGTGTTTTCATACAGGATAGCGCTGTTATTCGGGATGGCTACCGCTGGCAGTATTGATATTTTGGTCTGTGAACGTATCACCGGGCACCATTCCCTTCCCTTACCATTCCCCTGGCCACTTCGGCGCAACATTAGCGTTTTTCCTTCTTTTTCTAATCCAGGCTCTTAGGAACAACCATTAGATGTCAAATGGCAGAAGAGCTGACGTTCCGCTGTTCCATCTTCGTACAATTGCGACAAAAGCACCTAATTTGACGCGAATTTGTTCGGCGTCGCAGTAAACAGCCTTTATGTTTGAGGAAAGGGTCGCCCTCTTGAAGGGACAATGCTGCGCTTTCACTCGTAGAGGCTTACATTTCCAGCCATGGTACTAAAGTCGCACATCTTGGCAGGGATCACTGGGATTCATTGTAGAATAGAGTGCTTCTCGCAAAGTGACTGAAGGCAGCGCAACTTCAAAAACAGCCCTACCTCACGCCTGTTTCGTGGGTGAAATTCTTTTAAGGTTAGTATCTCGGAGGAAAAAAAGGAGAGGTGTGCGCGAAATAGACTTATTGAATAGGAGTTCCTTCCCTCTTACTCTTGAAGTACTGAATTATGGGGATCTTCCTGAGCTGTTCAATGAAAAAAGTTTAAAAAAGAAATAAAATAAAGGGAATAAAAGAAGCCTAATTAAGAAGTAGTGATAAGGAATAAGGGAATGAGTAAAATGTGGTACGAAATGTGTTCTAAGGACAAGCGATAGTGTTCACTAAAAACTGTTCAAGCCAATGACCTAACATTCCTGAGAAAACTTTTTGCATTTGTTTGTTACAACATTTATTATAAGGTGACCAGAGCGGGGACCGACCACTTCAAAAAAGAACTGCGTCACCACACGCCTGCTCCGTTGGTGAAATTCGGAGGCAGTGATCCCGATCGCTGGGGGCGGAGCGCTTTTAAAGAGGTCGCTGAACGTCATAGGTGAACAGACATCTTAGCGCGCTGCGAGGTGTGTTTGGAACGACGTAAGCAAACCAGCCCTTTTGGCGTTTCGGCTGGGACCGTATGCTGAATGTTGGGGAGGGGATGGGGTCCCCAACGGTCGACGGTTTACTTCAACTCGGTTGGTACGATAGGAGAGTACTGACGCAAGTGGTGCAGCTGGTCCAGCAGCTCCGCCAGAAGGGCTGGTTTGCTCACCCCAGGACTAAGCCTTGGAGAGGGGACGGACCCGTCCTCTCTTTAAGGCTTAGTTCTGAGGTAAGCACCAAATTGTGGCGGTTCTAAGGACCGAGTTGAAGTGGTCCGTCCACCCGTCGGGGACTCCATCCCCTCCCCAACATTCAGCATACGGTCCCAGCCGAAGCGCCAAAAGGGCTGGTTTGCTTACGTCTTTGAGAAAGACG